AGTAGAACAACTCCCAGAACCCCATCATCCAGGTATCAACCAACAGCCTGGTGGACCAAACTCTCACAAGTCAAGCCTGGCCTCGGGCCGGGCTTGGGGAGTAGAAGAACTCCCAGAACCCCATCAACCAGGTATCAACCAGGACATCAGCGAAGGATTATACATCACACAAACAAAGCCATCTATCAACACCCAATTATCACCAAATTAAACTGTTCCATCTTTGGGAACATGACGAAACATACAGTATACTGCCCCAGCCACCAGTGAAACATACAGTATACTGCCTCAGCCACCAGTGAAACATACAGTATACTGCCCCAGCCACCAGTGAAACATACAGTATACTGCCCCAGCCACCAGTGAAACATACAGTATACTGCCTCAGCCACCAGTGAAACATACAGTATACTGCCCCAGCCACCAGTGAAACATACAGTATACTGCCCCAGCCACCAGTGAAACATACAGTATACTGCCCCAGCCACCAGTGAAACATACAGTATACTGCCTCAGCCACCAGTGAAACATACAATATACTGCCCCAGCCACCAGTGAAACATACAGTATACTGCCCCAGCCACCAGTGAAACATACAGTATACTGCCCCAGCCACCAGTGAAACATACAGTATACTGCCCCAGCCACCAGTGAAACATACAGTATACTGCCCCAGCCACCAGTGAAACATACAGTATACTGCCCCAGCCACCAGTGAAACATACAGTATACTGCCCCAGCCACCAGTGAAACATACAGTATACTGCCTCAGCCACCAGTGAAACATACAGTATACTGCCCCAGCCACCAGTGAAACATACAGTATACTGCCCCAGCCACCAGTGAAACATACAGTATACTGCCCCACCCACCAGTGAAACATACAGTATACTGCCTCAGCCACCAGTGAAACATACAGTATACTGCCCCAGCCACCAGTGAAACATACAGTATACTGCCCCAGCCACCAGTGAAACATACAGTATACTGCCTCAGCCACCAGTGAAACATACAGTATACTGCCTCAGCCACCAGTGAAACATACAGTATACTGCCCCAGCCACCAGTGAAACATACAGTATACTGCCCCAGCCACCAGTGAAACATACAGTATACTGCCCCAGCCACCAGTGAAACATACAGTATACTGCCCCAGCCACCAGTGAAACATACAGTATACTGCCTCAGCCACCAGTGAAACATACAGTATACTGCCCCAGCCACCAGTGAAACATACAGTATACTGCCCCAGCCACCAGTGAAACATACAGTATACTGCCCCAGCCACCAGTGAAACATACAGTATACTGCCCAGCCACCAGTGAAACATACAGTATACTGCCCCAGCCACCAGTGAAACATACAGTATACTGCCCCAGCCACCAGTGAAACATACAGTATACTGCCCCAGCCACCAGTGAAACATACAGTATACTGCCCCAGCCACCAGTGAAACATACAGTATACTGCCCCAGCCACCAGTGAAACATACAGTATACTGCCTCAGCCACCAGTGAAACATACAGTATACTGCCCCACCCACCAGTGAAACATACAGTATACTGCCCTACCCACCAGTGAAACATACAGTATACTGCCCCACCCACCAGTGAAACATACAGTATACTGCCCCACCCACCAGTGAAACATACAGTATACTGCCCCAGCCACCAGTGAAACATACAGTATACTGCCCCAGCCACCAGTGAAACATACAGTATACTGCCCCAGCCACCAGTGAAACATACAATATACTGCCTCTGCCACCAGTGAAACATACAGTATACTGCCTCAGCCACCAGTGAAACATACAATATACTGCCCCAGCCACCAGTGAAACATACAGTATACTGCCTCAGCCACCAGTGAAACATACAATATACTGCCCCAGCCACCAGTGAAACATACAATATACTGCCTCTGCCACCAGTGAAACATACAGTATACTGCCCCAGCCACCAGTGAAACATACAGTATACTGCCTCAGCCACCAGTGAAACATACAGTATACTGCCCCAGCCACCAGTGAAACATACAGTATACTGCCTCAGCCACCAGTGAAACATACAGTATTCTGCCCCAGCCAACAGTGAAACATACAGTATACTGCCCCAGCCACCAGTGAAACATACAATATACTGCCCCAGCCAACAGTGAAACATACAGTATACTGCCTCAGCCACCAGTGAAACATGCAGTATACTGCCCCAGCCACCAGTGAAACATACAGTATACTGCCCCAGCCACCAGTGAAACATACAGTATACTGCCCCAGCCACCAGTGAAACATACAGTATACTGCCCCAGCCACCAGTGAAACATACAGTATACTGCCCCAGCCACCAGTGAAACATAGGAGATTGGCAAGTTACTAAAAACGATCCAACCCAGCCTAGAGTACACTTCAAAACCGGTATAGGTTAAGTAATAATTGTAAATAAGAAGCAATAAGATGCTTATCTTAACATACTAAGAAGGTTAGGTGAGGTCGGTGTTTTCTATGAAGCTTTTCAAGGTAAACTAAAATATTCACAATTAATTAGTATGTCACATATGCACTTATTAAATAAGCCAATATTGACTAAGCAAGTGCGAGAACGGTTTGCAAAACCACCATCACCAAAATACTCGCACACCTCAACAAAGCCCATTTACAACATAGCACACACTAACTTGGTGTCTTCAGGCCACCAAGTTAGAGATTAGTGAAATTCTAAGAAGCCAGTATGAGGCTATGTTTAGCACACCAATAAACAACATGAAAGTTGATGACCCAGACAGCTTCTTAATGAATGACATTCAAGCTGCAGTTAATATAACGGATATTACCACAAACTCGGAAGACTTTGAAAGAGAAATTGACAATATCCCCATGCACTCAGCTCCTGGACCTGACTTGTGGGATTCAATATTCATAAAGAAATGTAACGTACCAGTAGCGAGAGCACTCAGCGTAATATGGAGAAAGAGCCTGGATACGTGGGAGATACCAGCAGCACTTAAATCTGCAGGTATAGCTCCTCTGCACAAGGGGGGGGGGGAGTAAAGCCTTGGCCAAAAATTATAGACCAGTTGCACTATCACAATAAAAGTTTTTGAAAGAGTGTTTAGAAACCAAATTTCTAGTTTTATGGAAAATAATGAGCCACACAACCCAGGACAACATGGATTTAGAGCGAGAAGATCATGTCTGTCACAGTTACTCAACCACTATGACAAAATCACAGAAGCTCTAGAAGAAAAGCAAAATGCAGATGTTGTATACACAGACTTTGCAAAGGCGTTCGACAAATGTGACCATGGAGTGATAGCTCACAAAATGAGATCAATAGGAATAGCGGGTCAAGTGGGGCGTTGGATCTTCAACTTAATGTCAAACGGAATGCAGAGAGTGACGGTCAATCAAATAAGATCAAGCCCAAGTGCAGTGAAAAGCTCTTTACCTCAGGGCACAGTCCTTGCACCGCTGCTATTTCTTATTCTTATCTCGGATATAGACAAAAAATAATAGTCACAGCTTCGTGTCATCCTTTGCAGATGACACAAAAAACAGCATGAAAATTTCCTCTGTAGAAGAAACTGAAAACTGCAGGCAGGCAGATATTAATAAGTCTTCGATTGGGCAACTGAAAATAACATGATGTTCAACGGTGACAAGTTCCAGGTACTGAGGTATGGTGGAGATGAAGAAGTTAAACGAGACTCTGGGTACAGGACAAGTTCCAGGTACTGAGGTATGGTGGAGACGAAGTTAAACGAGACTCGGGGTACATGACAAGTTCCAGGTACTGAGGTATGGTGGAGACGAAGTTAAACGAGACTCGGGGTACAGGACAAGTTCCAGGTACTGAGGTATGGTGGAGATGAAGAAGTTAAACGAGACTCTGGGTACAGGACACAATCATAGAAGGAATGCAACGTGTAAAAAATGATATAGTACACACCAATAAGCACTTTTGACCCGACCAGCATACGAACCCATGCCGTTCGGGATCCAGCCCGTCCTCTAAACAAACGCCCAAAGACCATTCCATCCACCCGCCAAACCCCCAGGTGTTTATGAATGACAAACGGTTTACACACAACTCACAACTGATGACGTCCGAACACTTCCGGAACAAGTGCTTCACTGACGACTTGTGTTCGAACCACAACGCTGTAAATGCTTCACCCACGTACTACAAATACAAATAATCGCCAACAGAACCTAAACACCTAACCTAACTTATGCCTATATATGCACAATATGCTAATATATAATAATATTAATTTATATTTGAGAAAATTCCTATTGTGAATGAACAGCATGTTAAAATTTATGAATACGTCTTTGGGGTCGACCGCTGGATGGAATGAACTTGGTCTGAGGACGGGTATGATAAGGGAACTTGAGTACGACAGTTTCTTGACTATGGGGAAACCATAGGGGGGCGGGCAGGTGTCGTGATCGCTACAGGTCAGTGACAGCGACACCCGTGCTCTGTACCTGCATGATAATATATTATGTGACGCATATTGGTTGTGTCTCCCAGACAGAGACAGACAGAGACAGACAGACAAACAGACAGACACTGCCTGCCTGCCTGCCTGCCTGCCTGCCTGCCTGCCTGCCTGCCTGCCTGCCTGGCTATCAGTGAAATATGAAGCTACAGAACATGACATAAAGGGTGTGGGAGGGAGAGTGCGGCGAGAATAGGGGTCAAGACGCCAGTGCCACCACACTCTCCTGTTAAGGGATAGGTTCTCTGGAGACACCAAGTGCCATCAGACATTACCCTGACCTCCGACAGGAACACTGAGACCAATCAGTTCAGGTATGGGTGATAATATTGAAGGGTGCGTCAAATGGGTGGACACGGTAACCAAGGGGACTTTTTGTTTTGACAACAAACATAGAAGCGATCAATGCGTTGCTTTAACACATACGCCTCGACCCCGTCACCCACTCCAGCACGTACACAGTGGAGCTGTTAACCTACTTCTGAAATATTACCGGACAGGTTCCGGCCTGCGGGTCATCCACCGGCCTCGGATGGACGCCATCATGGAGCGAGAAATATTATGAAGTTAATGAGTGTGTTGAGCAATGGCAAGTTTATTGCTAACGTAAATGTTCACGGTGTAAATGAGTTAAATGCGTAAACACATCTTGACGAGAACGGTCGTGTGTGTGTGTGTGTGTGTGTGTGTGTGTGTGTGTGTGTGTGTGTGTGTGTGTGTGTGTGTGTGTGTGTGTGTGTGTGTGTACTCATCTAATTGTACTCAACTAATTGTGCTTGCGGGGTTTGAGCTCTGGCTCTTTGGTCCCGCCACTCACCTGTCAATCCACAGGTGTACAGGTTCCTCATATCTACACTTGTACTGTGTATGGAGTCAGCCTCCACCACATTACTTCCTAATGCATTCCATTTGTCAACCACTCTGACACTAAAAAAGTTATTTCTAATGTCTTTATAATATTAGTCTAATATTACTTTTTCTAATATTACAATTACTAATTGTGCGCATGTGCGTGTGTGTACAGAATCTTGAGCCAATTGGGTTCTATCATATCTACATATGAAAGTGAGTATGGAATCTGTTTCCACCACGTCACTAACTAGGGCACTCCATCTGTTAACTGCTCTGACACTGAACAAATTCTCTCGAATGTGTCTATGGTTCATTTGAGTACTCAGTTTTAGTAGAGGAAAAAAGACGCAAACTGGAACGCTGACGGCACTCACTCTATAGGTTTAGGAAACCCATAGCAGAACATCTCCAACACTCCACAGCAGCTGTCACGGGCTGCTTCCTGGGGGTGGAGGCCTGGTCGAGGACCGGGCCGCGGGGACACTAAAGCCCCGAAATCATCTCAAGATAACCTCAAGATAACCTCCACTCTCTCTCAACAACGATGAGGAAGGCTATGTAGAGTAACTGACATGATCTCACTCCAACTGCAAGAATCATATCAAATCCACTAGTAACAAAAAGTGCAAAACGCCATTAGTGGAAATCAGAGGACTCCGAAATACTTTTTCTGCTATTCAAAGACTAGAAGAAACTAGAAGAACACTTCCCACGTTTAATCATGTGTTCCCCTTGCTCCACTGTTGTTGTTTGTTATAGATTCACCAACTCCAAACAAAATGTTGCAAGAACCCGTAGTGGACTTACCTGGCACAGTAGAGGGGCAAGTAGCACAGGCTATGGTGAACCCGTAGTGGACTTACCTGGCACAGTAGAGGGGCAAGTAGCACGGGCTATGGTGAGCCCGTAGTGGACTTACCTGGCACAGTAGAGGGGCAAGTAGCACGGGCTATGGTGAACCCGTAGTGGACTTACCTGGCACAGGAGCGGGGCAAGTAGCACGGGCTATGGTGAACCCGTAGTGGACTTACCTGGCACAGGAGCGGGGCAAGTAGCACGGGCTATGGTGAGCCCGTAGTGGACTTACCTGGCACAGGAGCGGGGCAAGTAGCACGGGCTATGGTGAGCCCGTAGTGGACTTACCTGGCACTGGAGCGGGGCAAGTAGCACGGGCTATGGTGAGCCCGTAGTGGACTTACCTGGCACAGTAGAGGGGCAAGTAGCACGGGCTATGGTGAGCCCGTAGTGGACTTACCTGGCACAGTAGAGGGGCAAGTAGCACGGGCTATGGTGAGCCCGTAGTGGACTTACCTGGCACAGTAGAGGGGCAAGTAGCACGGGCTATGGTGAGCCCGTAGTGGACTTACCTGGCACAGGAGCGGGGCAAGTAGCACGGGCTATGGTGAGCCCGTAGTGAACTTACCTGGCACAGGAGCGGGGCAAGTAGCACGGGCTATGGTGAGCCCGTAGTGAACTTACCTGGCACAGGAGCGGGGCAAGTAGCACGGGCTATGGTGAGCCCGTAGTGAACTTACCTGGCACAGGAGCGGGGCAAGTAGCACAGGCTATGGTGAGCCCGTAGTGGACTTACCTGGCACAGGAGCGGGGCAAGTAGCACGGGCTATGGTGAGCCCGTAGTGGACTTACCTGGCACAGTAGAGGGGCAAGTAGCACGGGCTATGGTGAGCCCGTAGTGGACTTACCTGGCACAGGAGCGGGGCAAGTAGCACGGGCTATGGTGAGCCCGTAGTGGACTTACCAGGCACAGGAGCGGGGCAAGTAGCACGGGCTATGGTGAGCCCGTAGTGGACTTACCTGGCACAGGAGCGGGGCAAGTAGCACGGGCTATGGTGAGCCCGTAGTGAACTTACCTGGCACAGGAGCGGGGCAAGTAGCACGGGCTATGGTGAGCCCGTAGTGGACTTACCAGGCACAGGAGCGGGGCAAGTAGCATGGGCTATGGTGAGCCCGTAGTGGACTTACCTGGCACAGGAGCGGGGCAAGTAGCACGGGCTATGGTGAGCCCGTAGTGGACTTACCTGGCACAGGAGCGGGGCAAGTAGCACTGGCTATGGTGAGCCCGTAGTGGACTTACCTGGCACAGGAGCGGGGCAAGTAGCACGGGCTATGGTGAGCCCGTAGTGGACTTACCTGGCACAGGAGCGGGGCAAGTAGCACGGGCTATGGTGAGCCCGTAGTGGACTTACCTGGCACAGGAGCGGGGCAAGTAGCACGGGCTATGGTGAGCCCGTAGTGGACTTACCTGACACAGGAGCGGGGCAAGTAGCACGGGCTATGGTGAGCCCGTAGTGAACTTACCTGGCACAGTAGAGGGGCAAGTAGCACGGGCTATGGTGAGCCCGTAGTGGACTTACCTGGCACAGTAGAGGGGCAAGTAGCACGGGCTATGGTGAGCCCGTAATGAACTTACCTGGCACAGGAGCGGGGCAAGTAGCACGGGCTATGGTGAGCCCGTAGTGGACTTACCTGGCACAGGAGCGGGGCAAGTAGCACAGGCTATGGTGAGCCCGTAGTGGACTTACCTGGCACAGGAGCGGGGCAAGTAGCACAGGCTATGGTGAGCCCGTAGTGGACTTACCTGGCACAGGAGCGGGGCAAGTAGCACAGGCTATGGTGAGCCCGTAGTGGACTTACCTGGCACAGGAGCGGGGCAAGTAGCACAGGCTATGGTGAGCCCGTAGTGGACTTACCTGGCACAGGAGCGGGGTAAGTAGCACAGGCTATGGTGAGCCCGTAGTGGACTTACCTGGCACAGGAGCGGGGCAAGTAGCACAGGCTATGGTGAGCCCGTAGTGGACTTACCTGGCACAGGAGCGGGGCAAGTAGCACAGGCTATGGTGAGCCCGTAGTGGACTTACCTGGCACAGGAGCGGGGCAAGTAGCACGGGCTGTGGTGAGCCCGTGGTGGACTTACCTGGCACAGGAGCGGGGAAAGTAGCACGGACTATGGTGAGCCCGTAGTGGACTTACCTGACACAGGAGCGGGGCAAGTAGCACGGGCTATGGTGAGCCCGTAGTGGACTTACCTGGCACAGGAGCGGGGCAAGTAGCACGGGCAATGATGAACCCGTAGTGGACTTACCTGGCACAGGAGCGGGGCAAGTAGCACGGGCTATGGTGAGCCCGTAGTGGACTTACCAGGCACAGGAGCGGGGCTGTAACTGCCAGTGGGATGGGATGCCTACAGCCTCTTCAAGTCATGGACATGGCCAATGAAGCGAAAGGTCCTCTACTGTCTGCCAGCAACATTTATGTAGCCTTTCCTCACACCTCATCGTTCAGGGACTTGTCTAGTGGCATATCATTGAACCTTCTCCAATTTCGGAGTGTGCTTGATTAGGTATGTAATCCAGGCTGGAGCCGCATGCTCCGTGATTCTGGCGTATGTGATGTACAAGGTTCTGAAGGATGACTTACATAAATTTGTTAAGGCAGGTTTTGATAGTGAGCCGCGCTTATACCACCGTTGACATCTTCAAGAGAAAACTGGACGGTTTTCTAAGAGAAGTTCCGGATCAACCGGGCTGTGGTGGGTATGTGGGCCTGCGGGCCGCTCCAACCAACAGCCTGGTGGACCAAACTCTCACAAGTCTAGCCTGGCCTCGGGCCGGGCTTGGGGAGTAGAACAACTCCCAGAACCCCATCAACCAGGTATCAACCAACAGCCTGGTGGACCAAACTCTCACAAGTCAAGCCTGGCCTCGGGCCGGGCTTGGGGAGTAGAACAACTCCCAGAACCCCATCAACCAGGTATCAACCAACAGCCTGGTGGACCAAACTCTCACAAGTCAAGCCTGGCCTCGGGCCGGGCTTGGGGAGTAGAAGAACTCCCAGAACCCCATCAACCAGGTATCAACCAACAGCCTGGTGGACCAAACTCTCACAAGTCAAGCCTGGCCTCGGGCCGGGCTTGGGGAGTAGAACAACTCCCAGAACCCCATCAACCAGGTATCAACCAACAGCCTGGTGGACCAAACTCTCACAAGTCAAGCCTGGCCTCGGGCCGGGCTTGGGGAGTAGAACAACTCCCTGAACCCCATCAACCAGGTATCAACCAACAGCCTGGTGGACCAAACTCTCACAAGTCAAGCCTGGCCTCGGGCCGGGCTTGGGGAGTAGAACAACTCCCAGAACCCCATCAACCAGGTATCAACCAACAGCCTGGTGGACCAAACTCTCACAAGTCAAGCCTGGCCTCGGGCCGGGCTTGGGGAGTAGAACAACTCCCAGAACCCCATCAACCAGGTATCAACCAACAGCCTGGTGGACCAAACTCTCACAAGTCAAGCCTGGCCTCGGGCCGGGCTTGGGCAGTAGAACAACTCCCAGAACCCCATCAACCAGGTATCAACCAACAGCCTGGTGGACCAAACTCTCACAAGTCAAGCCTGGCCTCGGGCCGGGCTTGGGGAGTAGAACAACTCCCAGAACCCCATCAACCAGGTATCAACCAACAGCCTGGTGGACCAAACTCTCACAAGTCAAGCCTGGCCTCGGGCCGGGCTTGGGGAGTAGAACAACTCCCTGAACCCCATCAACCAGGTATCAACCAACAGCCTGGTGGACCAAACTCTCACAAGCTTGACTTGTGAGAGTTTGGTCCACCAGGCTGTTGGTTGGAGCGTCCCGCAGGTCCACATACCCACCAGAGCCTGGTTGGTCCGGAACTTCTCTTAGAAAACAGTCCAGTTT